ACAAACACGCACTTCCACTAATGAGGGTGTCAATTTAAAACACAACTCAAGAATGGAAAAGTCCTGCACAAGGACCCAAGATAAGTGTAGAAATCAATGAACCATATGGAGTGATGAACCCTGTAATATGTATTACCAATATAAATGCACAAGTCAAAATAATTATTTAAAAATAATTACACATAAAATTAATTAAACAGTAATATTATAGATCTACAACCCACCTCAATTAATAGCAACTAAGAAGAATAATGGAGAGTAGATAAAGCAAAAATGTATGACATTTCTTACTGAAAATTATTATTATACTCAGAAGATATTAAGAATTAGAAATATAGGAGATGAGGCGATGAGGATACAGCCCAGTGGCATAAGTGCCTGCCTGGAAGGCATGAGGTCATGAGTTACAGTCCCAGTACCAAAAAAAAAAAAAAAAAAAAAAAAAAAAAAAAAAAAAATTAGAAGTGTATGGTTGGGGCTGGGGATTTGGCTCAGCGGCATAAATGCCTGCATTGCAAATGCTCAGTCCTGAGTTTGATGCCCAGTACCGATTAAAAAAAAAAAAGTGTATGGTTTAAAATATGTAATGTGTCCGGCTTCCCATAATAACTTTGCTTTTGCTCTGATACTGAGTGCCTTTGAATAAACACTGTGGTTTTATTTTACACTAATGAAGGAGACCAAGAGATGAAGGGCGTAAGGAGAAAGAGCACAAATAAAGAATTAATATGTGTTATGGGCACACACCAACTGCACACAAGGAATGAAATCATTATGGACTATCAACATGTACTAATAAAAAATGAAAACCAGAAAATAAAACAGTAAGAAATGAAATATATATATATATATATATATATATATATATATATATGAAACACTTGATATCGTGAAAGAACCAAGTAGAATACAAGATTCTAACTTGTAAGCCACTCCAGGATAGAAAATAAAGTCCTCAATGATGATGTCACTGTCCAAAGTATTTGTGAACTGAAAACATCAACGTATCACTTCCCATTTATGGACAAATGATTTGCAAATGGAGGAAAAAGTTCTAAATGTAACAATGTAGTCACTGGCATTGCCTCTGTTAATTTTTTTTAAAGCTTGGGCACATGGAAATGTAATAATATTAATAGGATAAAAGAGCATGTATTTATTTACTTCTCACTCAAAAATGAATATATATTTTGCTCATGTGTTTGGAAAACATTTGGAAAACATATAATATATGCTATGATACAAAACAATTGTTTTCCTACAGTACATATTGGACAGAAAATTCCAGATCCAGATTTTGTGAAATTACACAAAAATGAAAAACATGTTTTATTGCATCTAGAAGCTTCAATCTCATTAGTAACTTTTATTTTCCAGATTTTTTATTTTCCAGTTTCCTTGCAGCTAGGTGTAGTCCTGTGACTAAATTGCAGCTAATAAAATGCAAATTGAAAGGGTGGGAACCGAGTCTGGCAAAGGCCCTTGAAGGGCAGGTTGCGTCCTTGGTCCCGCTTCCTTCTTTCTGGTACAGCAGTTGATCAGAGAGTAATCAGCTGATCTAGACTCTGGAGTCTCCGCTAAGGATAGCTAAACAACCAGGTATATATCACTCAGATCTGATGTCGCCCACAGGCTTTACCTAGGTCAGAGCAGTTCCTTATTAATGGTAGAGGCAGGGAACCATGCTGAGTCCCGAGGAGCTGAAAGTCAGTTGCGGAGGAACAGAAGCAGCAAGAGGTGACTGTTCCAAGAATACTCACAGGGAAGCAGACATGGGCAGAAGTTTGTGGGAGAGTTGGGTGTGGGCTTGGGGCATGACTTTTCTGGGAACTGGAAGGGAGGAAAGCACAGAATCTAGAATATTTATTGCCTGAGTTAGGAAAGAATTACCTGTGAAGAGAAAGAAAAATTGGACAAATTCTTGGAACAAAATCTAAGAAAGACCAGCAAATGGGGAAGAGGTCAGTATCTCATGGCCCAAGAGAAGAATGAATGGAGAGAAAGGCAAATCTGAAACCTCAGGATAAGGAATTGAAAAATCCAGCAGCCTCTGCTTTCTCCGAAACTTAAGAAGCAAGTAACATCAGAAGCAAGAGGAAAATGCTAAGGTCTGAATCTTCCTTGAGGCATTAGGAAAACAGCAGATGTGAAAGAGCATTGCTGAGCAGTCCTGGGCTCTCACCTGAAGCTGGCCGTGCGCTTCTGTCATTAGCTAGTGAGCAAGGGAATATGACTTTCTTTAGCAGTGCCTCACGGCTTGGAAACTAGAGCCAGTCAGAATGAATCATCAGGCTGTTGTAGAATGGACTATTTGCAAAGCTTATAGAAAAGATCAAAGAGCTGCTGGAAATGAGTGTGTTGATGACAGTGTGGTTGAAATAATAAACCAAGAAGCCCAGACAAGTCAGGAAATCAGTTGAAATAAAGGAGGGGCTCAGAGTCTGGTTAAGAGGAAGGAGTCCAGGCTTGGTCCTGGCGGTGGTGGGTAAAGCAGGTGTGAAGATGATGGGTTGTAGGTCAAGTCTGGAGATGCACATGGGCCACGGAGGTCCGGAGTGGAGCAGAGTGTGTGGATGTGGATGAAATTAAAGCAGAGAGAGAGAGAGAGAGAGAATGGTAAGAGTAGAAAAGTTCAAAATCCCAGTAAGCTGAGATCCAAAATGCCTTTTTCGAATGCACATTGAAATCACCCAACAGTTTTGGAAGAAAAAGGTTTAAAGGAGGAAAATGATTTGGAGTCCAACGTTGTTCCAGAGGTGATGATTGTAACTGAAAAAATGATATCATGGATATATCAGTTGCTGGAAATAAGTCAGGAGCCAAACTGGAGATACTTCTTGGGATCACTTGGATTTTTTCAGAATTGTAAAACCCAGAAAATATACAGCACGATGTCCATTTAAAGCATTTTTTAGGAAAAATATTTTTATTGCTTTCAGGCTACCATGAGTGAGATCTGTTAAGTTCTTTCTGTTGCTATTATTTTTCTAAGGGTAACGGCCTGTTAGTACCTGGACAGATTCAGAAAAGACCTCTACACAATTGATTTCTTACTCATTTTTCGTTCCAGTAGAGGGCACTCAAAGCTCAAATACGTGCATAGGATAATTTGTGCAGCAATTGATGTTCTGTGTAATTAAAACTCATGTTCAAATAAAAACGGAAGAGAAATTCTGATTTAATAAGGCTCTGTTGTAAGTATGGCATGTGCCTTTCACTAAAATGAGATGAGTTCTTATAAATGATTAAATGAAGTTAGGCCTCCCCAAGAGTGATTCTTGAATTTTCACTCAGCACACATGAAAAGGAGCAAGGAAAATTTCTTGTTTCAGAAATAAGGTGGGCATTCATGACTGCAGTATACACCTGATCTTCAAATTCCATTTCCATCCCCATCTCAAAATAGTTTTCAATAAACTGGGAAGACTCATGGAGATTACCAGACAAATATCCTTCAGTGCAACAAGTACGAGAAAAAACCAGTGGAGAAAAAACCAGTGAGACAGAAATGATTTTAGAACTGAAGAAGCCCCCACAGGCCAATCTGTTCCTGCCATGAATGGTGTCACACTACCAGGAGGCTGTGCTCTTGTGAACCACCCGCCGGAGGGTGATGGGAACATTTCCAGGGGACTTTTGCTGTTTTAGAGAGTTGGAGAAATACAAATATTGTTAGTTCTGGAAGATGGACTATCTTCCAACCACAAGAGTAACTCTGAGTGGCTTTGGTTGCCAGTTTGGCAGGGAGACAGCGGAAGATGTGAACAGTGGTAACGTTGCTGTCAGCATTTCATCAAAGCTTCTCCTGGAGGAGTCAGGCCCTGGGGTCAAATGATTCTGCAGCTACCATCTTTGCCACTTCTGGATCTAGCTGCCATGACCCAGACAGCTTTCCCAAGCAGAGAGGACAGCTGGGTTTGACCTTATGTCTTAAACTGGGGGAGGATGATTTGCACGGAATGACAGGGAATCATGCCTAGCATCCATCAATCCTGGTGATCGGGATGAGGTAGCTTCTAAATAGAGAGTTTAGACAGCTAAAGGAAAGACTCCACCAAAAGTCATTTTGGCAGGAAGGTAACCCTACAGTATGAAGAACATGTTATAACTTATTCACAGCAGATTTTTTTTCAAAGACATGTTGCAAGACTCTGAAATGATCTGACTTAAACAGTTCCCTGTCCATTCTCCACCCACGCCAGGCACACAGCCCTCTCTGCAAACTGAGACCAGTCTCCTCCATAGAACCCCAGGGCTGCCATCCTCCAGAAACAGCAGAGATGCATCAACCCTCTTGTGCTTAACAGGCACATGTAAGCGGGACAAAGACCTGAGAGCCTATGCAAAATGGAATTTTTTTTAAAGCATGGTCCTTTCTACCTAATGACATGGCAACACAAGATAAAAGATTTGGAATTGAAACCCTCGAGGGTGTTCAAATACTGATAATGAAAATTAGGCATCTTTAAGATGCTCTTTGTGGCGCGGTGTAATTGCTGAGCACATCTAGACTTGCCAGGTATTGTTGAGAGACCAGGGGCAGCTGTGTGATTGTTTATTCTTCATTGCAGCTCTCTGACAGGAGCTTGATTTATAGTTGTAGGTGATAAATTACAAGGTTGAGTCTAGTTTCTAACCCTCTAGCTAAATATTTCCCATTACCTGGTTTGGCAGGCTAAATATTTTATTTAAAATGACAGCAATGATCACAAGAAAACCATTCAAATGCAAGTGCATGTCAATGGTCTTAAAATTAACAAGCCATTCCCAATGAGATAGTAGGGAAAAGGAAAAAGGGATGAATCCTGTGAGGAGGTCTGATTTCTTCTATATTTTAGGTAGCCAACTTTTATCTCAGTAACCTCTATCCCAACCAAATAATCTCCAGATTCTGTGCCTTTAGGGGTGGTTTTTATACCATCTGGGATCTATTTTGCTACCAACAACAAAAGACTAGGTTAAAAATGTCTTAGTAAATAAAGGCAGGTGATCTCACTTACCAGGAAGTCTGGATGCTGGGTAATTCCACTAGTATCTCACTAATATCAGCTCAGTGAGGTCAGCTATCCTGGAAGAATCTTGATTTTTCCTTATTCTGGGTCACAAGATGGCTGTTCTCAGTATCATATCCTCTCATTATGACATTCAGAGGCAGAAAGATAGAGCTTTTTTTTCCCTTCATTTTGCTGAAGGGAAGGGAAAGCTTTCCCACAAGTTCTAGACTTCACCTCCTTGGAAAGAGTTGTCCAATGTGTCCATTCCTTGTGAATCACTAGTCTAGGAAATAAAACAACCAATTAGCCTGGATCAATCAGTGTGCACCTCTGTGGCTGAAGGGAGATGCAGCCAGCCCTGGAACACCAGGTGAGCTGAACAAAATCAGGGTTCAGAGAGGAAGGAGGTGGCAGGTGGCTTCTGAGTAGATGATTTATCAGTAGTGTCTTTCCTTCCCTCCAATCTATTTTTCTAAAAGCACAATTTGCACAAAGACTTTTTTCATTCAGACACAAAATGAAAAAAAAAATTGTCCAGTAAACACAGTTCCATTGGATAGATGTTTGACATTTTTCATCCCAGAATTTGCAGATTATCCTCTTGGGCACATATCTTTAGTTTGATCATACTACTTTAATGTAGTAGAGTCCTGATCCCTGAAACTGACGACATTCTATACTACAGATAGTGAAGAATGGTGACTCTGTACTAGAGATTATGGAGTAGCACTGGTAGGCTAAGGGGTGAAAAGTGTAGAGGTGTCGCTCAAACCCATCATTATCAAACTATTGATCTCATGCAATCAGCTTTTCCTGTCCCTGTGACTTAATAATTTACATCTGAGAAGACTCAGCCACTGTTTACCATTTTTTTCCATCTTTTCAGTACAAAGGGCCAGTTCAAGATGATGTGGACTTTGTCTGCCAGGACCCCTTTGTATCTTGAAAGGGTCATTAGAGATGGAATCAGGGGAGGTTTCTGACCACAAGAAAAGCCATCAGCCTGAAGTCTCCGCTGTTTAACCTCTGGCTTCACTGTGTTCATTCGAAACCCTCCTGGGCTGGGAGGAGGTGTGGCTCTTCCGTGGGGTCATCCCAGAGGTCCACCTTCCCTAAGTCCAGCTCAGCTGAGACCACGATTGAGCATTCCAGGAGACTGTCACACTGGAAGAGCAACCGAGTTCATAAACTGTAAGAGAGCCGAGGTCCAAAATGCCAGAAGGTGAATCAGGATGTTCTCAACATTAGAGGAGCAGGGCAGAGGCGGATGTCAGTTGGGAAATCAACCCAAAGGATTCAGAGCCAGGACAGTGTGGGCAAGAGAAAGCACACCATGATCAAGGGCATAAATGGAGAAAAGCAGTACTGAGCGATCCATGAGGCCGCAGGCCAGTCAGCTTAGCTTAACCAAGACCATTTCCCATAAAAACAGCCTTCCAAATTGTTCACGTCATCCGATTGTTAGGGTTTTGAGAGAATCAGTGATGAAAGTAATACACATGTTTAATTTTGTAAAAATCCGGACAGCTTGCTTTAGCAGTCAAAAATATGTATTCCTCAGATCATCCCAGTATCTGTTGACTTCTTCCTTCTCTTACTTTAACCTCATCTTACTCCAGGATCCTTCTAGACTGAGAGATCATTAAACTACATCGCCAGGAAAGATGGTGTGAAGTGGGATGGGCTGTGTTTGCTTCCCTGCTGTAGATTTCCATTCACTGCTGTGTGCAATATCTCAAAGAAATAACCTAAAGAAACAGTGCATATAGATTTGAGTTCAGACGACACTTTAGTCCACAGAATCACATGGCAGAGGGTAGCAATGAAGCTCTATCTGTGAGATAAGGCAGTAAAGGAAAGTCAGAACAGCTTCCAGTGGATACAGCTGTAAGGCTGTCCATATTATTTTTATTTGAGAAAATTTTTGGTTTCAGGTAACAGAAAAGTTGACTAGCAGTAATTTTAAAAAGTTTTCTTTTTATATGTTTTAGTAGTATATCTTTATGGTATATAAGAAGCATAATAGATTTATTATACAGATCATGATATATAATAAATGTAATATATAATAAATGTGCTTATAGCCCTTGAAAGGTGGTAAAGTCAGAGCTTTGGAGACTGGATACAGAAGTAGTCAGAGGCCTGATAATAAAGAATATTAAAAGCAATTTTAAATCATCTGATTCATCTTGGGAATTTATACAAATACGTACACATATATATCTTGATCTTTTCCTTTTTTTTAACTTCTCCTTTTCTAGTAAATTAAACCAATAGAAACTTACATTTCTTGGATGACATTATATTTGAAGACGGTCCAAGAACTTTTTAAAAATCTTTTTATTCTGTCACTCACATGTGACTGCTTATTGCCTCACTGTCAAAAGATGACTGCTCCAGCTCTAACCATTGCAACTACGTTCAAGAAAAGAAGAAGGAAAACTTCTGACAGCATGTGTGCTTCTGTCAGGAGAGGATGGGCTTCACTGACCAGGACTGAGTCACACCGCCTTCCACAAAGAAAGCTGGGAAAGTGTCTGTGTTATTTTTTCAGCTGTTAAGGGCTAGCTGTCCAAAGAACAGTGTGATGAGCATGAACACGCCTGACAATAACTGCCACACCTTGCTACAATAAAGGTGTGACACAAGGAAGCCATTAAAACCTAAAGGCAACATCCTATTTGTTTGTTTTAACCTGGGCATTTTTATACGGTTTCCTTATTTAAACGAAACTTTGTAAGGCAGGCCCTAACAACCCTCAAAAGGTAGCAGAAGCCGGAGCTTCAGAGGCTGAATTTAGAAGGATTTTGGTAATCTATAAAAGTAAATAAATTATTATAAAGAGACACAAATTGAAATCGGGGCAAAAAGAGCTCAGCAGGGCAATTCTCCATAGATAAAGATGGGAGCAGTGTGGATGCCCACCAAGAGTCAGGGCTACAGAAATCGTGGCATTTATGCACAATGGAGTATTACTCAGTCGGAAAGAATAAATGTGAGTCCATTGTAAGAAAACAGGTGGATCTTGAGACTGTAATACTAAGTGAAATAAATCAGTCACAACGTTAGAGAAACCATGCAATGTCTACCTTTCTGTGACTGACTTGGGAGCCCTAGAAAGAAACAGGGAGATACACTTTGTGGAGTTGGGGAGGGAAGGCAGGGGGAAGTGGGGGCCTAGGGATAAAAGTAATCAAGAGGTGATATAAATATGTGTCAAACCACAAGCATAGAGCAGTACAATTTTTCAAAAAGAAGAGTGGGGCCCAGTGGGAGCAGGAACTTGCAGAGATGCAGTCTGCCTGGAGGAAAGCAGGTCCCGTGGGGTTCAACCCCATGTTGCTGTCTACATCAGGCAGAGAGTGAGGACAGTCTCCCTGAGGACCCAGATCTTTGCTGCTGCCTGGCTACTGGAAGGTTGGTACCAGTGCTTCCCCGGCAAGGGCTATTCTGTTTATTTTATTTTTGCAGTACTGTGCATTGAACCCTGGGCTTTGCCCCTCAGTTCCATATCCCTAGTTCTTCTCTTTAACTTTTCATGTTGAATCAGGGTCTTTCCAAATTGCCCAGATTGTGATTGAACTTGTGATCCTTCTGCCTCAGCCTCCCAGACATGTAAGATTATTACATACTAAAGAAACAGTTTTGCCTTCCTTGCTTGCTGCAGTTAAGTGGAAAAGGAAACATACACTTATTGAGAATTTATAATTTGTCAGGTGCTGGCTCTGTGTCTTCCAGTAGCTCACTGTCTTTCATCCTCCTGCTGGTGTGAACGGAGCTGGCTTACACTATTTGCCCAAGGTTAGAACTAATTAATATCAGAGATGGGCCCGGAGCTCACATCTGACTCTGCAGCCCATTACGCGATCCCTCCCATGACACCACTTCAAAGCCGCTTCATTTATTCATAAAACCAGGCCCACTGTCCGAGCCGGACATCTGAGGTTAGATCATTCTCTCCAATTCCCTCTGCTCCTCGGCCAATTTCTCTGAAGACCATACTGGGAAGATTCCTGGGCTTGGGACGGCTTGCTTATAATTTTGTATTCTTCTATTGAAAAGCTGTGTGGCCAGCAGTAATTCGTGGAAGGCTTCTCCACGCCTCAATGGGTCATCCACTGCAGTGGGGCAATCATTACAAACCCATTGGCTTCATCCTCAGAACGTCGGAGGCAGGGAGGGGCGGAGTGTCAAACTCAAATAGGTCCTATTTGTTATGAGCACTTTGCAAAAATTATAAACTTTAATCACATTCAGTGAGATGTTTTTTATTTGTGTAACCTCAACATGTTGCAATACACAGAATCCTCCCTCTCCTTTAGTTTTCAGCCAGCAGGTCCCTGTTGAAGGAAACTCTGGCTGTCTTTCTTGGAAGGGAAAATTAAATGGTTTTTGAATTCACATCTCACAAGGCTGAGAATCCACTCCTCAAGCACCCTGTTCATCAGGGTGTCAACCACAGTTCTGCCAAGACTCCACTGTTAGTATCTGCCTTCTTTCTCAGCCCGAGGTGAGAAAACGTTCATTATAGGGGTAAGTCAGGAGGGATTGGGGCTATTTTGGTATTGGCAGGACACTTAATACAATTTCTCAAAACTAAGCAAAGGAAGTCGATTTTTCTTAGCAGATACCGTCTGCAAGTGGGGTAGTCACTGTGGCATGGGAAGGCCCTGGGGATCATATCAAAGAGGCAAATGGTTTTTGACTCAGAAATCTCGTAAGGCTGGGCCTACTTCACAGCTATGACACAGAAAACTGTGATGGAGAAGGAAGCATAGAAACTCCTGAATACAATTGACCCTAACTGAAGTCAGGAGTGATGATGTAGCCCTGTAAGGCCAGCATTCTAGGATGCAGAAGCAGGAGGACCCCAAGTTTGAGCCCAGCCTGGGAAACTTAGCAAGTTAGGGAACTCTGACTCAAAACTTAAAAAAAAAAAAAAAAAAAAAAACTAGTTAATTAAAAAAGACTGGAGATGTAGGTCAGTGCAAAGGCCCTGGGCTCAGCTGTCATATCATACACACACACACACACACAAATCCTAACCGATTGACACTTTAGCACCTCCCCATAACAAGATACCCTTTATACCTCCCTTCAATCCTGATGTCTTGCTAAAACTGAGCATCCCCTTCCCCTTTACTGCATATTTAGGACTTTCCACTGAGGCTAAGACATTGGTCCCTTTCCTCTTTCTCCTCTTCTTTTATCAACCTCTGTCACGTTTCTGCCTGTCTCTGAGAAGCTGACTTTCAGAAAATGAAGGGACAGATACTGAATCATTGTACCTTGGTAATATCATCCTTTCAGTGAAGCCCTTCTGCCAATGAGACATGGAATTCCTCTATACAAGAATGTAGGAACTGCAGGGATTCACGTATCCTATTGGGGCAGAATATTATGGAATCAACGATCTTAAGGAAAACACCTGCCAGATGCTAGGCGTCACTAACCACCTTCCTATAAGCATTTCACCTTTTACAGAACATAGCTAATGAATCTACATTCTCTGTCTAATTGTAATCATTAAATGTGAACAAGCACTCTTTGCACACTCCGCAAAATGAGAAGAAAAACACCCCAAGCAATGGAGACAGAGGGTGCTGCTTAAGGGTTCCACTTAAGCATTCAATAGAAAACCATTCTTCTTAAAAATATCTATTAGAAAAACAGTTTAGAAATCCAGTATCTTGAAATAGTGTAAGAAAGAAGAGTCTGAGGGTGATTTGATGAAAGCAATAAGATAATTTAACAAGAAAATTAAAGGTTTGAAAAGGGCTAAACACTACAATGAGTTATGGAAACTAAAATTATAATTACAGAATTAAAACCCATACTAGAAGTTATAAAGGACAAGATAGAGATCAGGTAGAACTAGACACTAACGAAAGTGAGAAACTTCAGTAGCTTCTCTGGAAAGAAGCAGCCTACAGAGGGAGGGATCTTGAGAAAAGAAAGCCAGGCAATGGAGAGCCAGGCTAGGAGTTGGAGAGGAACTCTGACTAATTCTAAGAAAACCTTCTTGAGTGGAAAGAAAGACCAGTGTCTAGATGAGAGGTTAACACGTTTCAGAAATTGTTAGTAGAAAATATCACTTACCATGCCATCATGAGTTTTTGAATTATATGAAACAAAGAAGAGTGAATGAAACAGAGTTTATACGTATCCATTAAATACGACTTCTGTCATCCCCAGAAGCAAAGAGGCCATGAGGAGAGAACAGTAAGTGTTCTGACTTAGGGACGGGGACCTGAGAACTTGATTCAGTCATGTTTTGACTCAAGTACATTCTCTGATAATAAAACGTGTAAGGCTTTTGTCCTTGAGGAATTATGTGTAGATACAGGGCCGTGGTACCATCATGAATTTAACTGCAAAGGTTGGTAGTGGGATTTTGAAAGACATGATAGTTCTAAGATGAGTGAAATATCCTATATTTACTTAAATTCCCACAGAACCCTGTGTGAAAAAGAAGTGCATGTGATTTATGGTCTCGTTATCTAGAGAAAACTGGAGTTAGTAAGTTAAAGATGGCTCCCAGGATCTCACTCACACAAAAGGAATCCAGATTCATTTCCTTTAATTCTTGATGTGCCAGGTATGAGTTATCAGATCAGCATTGTCTCTTTCTGCTTTGATTTAATTTCTGGAAGTTTCTATAATAAAAATAGTAAGGGTAAAACTGGTTTGAAGGACTGATCATGTACAAATCAAGTTTCTTTCCCAAGAAAGATGTTGGTTGGTTGGT